AAGCTTCTCTCTGATGGACTGAAGTCTGTAAACTGTAAACTGGAGATACTGAGGTTAATTCCTTTCGCTAAACAGCAACTACAAAAAGTTACATATTGGGTTAACAAATATGGGATCCCTTTTCCACACTCATGAATACAAATGTATGTGTATAGACAAGGCATTTGCAATTTCGGTCCTGGAGGGCCAGTGTCCTGCAAAGTTTAGTTCCAACCCCAATCAGACACACCTGGGCTAGCTAATCAAGCTCTTACTAGGCTTTCTAGAAACATCCTCGCAGGTGTGTTGAGGCATGTTGGAGCTAAAATTTGCTGGGACACCGGCCCCCCAGGACTGAGTTTGGACACCCCTGGTATAGACAAATGTAATAAACCTTTTCACACATGTACAATCACACCAGTGTGATTGGCGTGTTCAGAACACACATTATCAACAGCTAAACTCAAATCTGACTGCACACGCTGCGGCACAGAAAGAGGTTTGCTGTGCTTGTCAAAAATCATAATTTATCTGTGCTTTCAAACCATCTAGGTTTCAGACATTAAAATACACACAACTACAAGCAAAACATACCATTTAAGGCTTGTAAAATACACGTGCAATAATACTTATTTTTCAATATAACTGGACGATGTGCTTTATTTACAAAAGATACACATTGTTTATGCTGATAAAATATTTTTTCTGTTCCTCTCCTGGATAAACAGTTTCTTACCTTCATGTATTTTGGAAGAAAATTAAGAATAAACATGTAGTAAATCCAGCAGCTCAGATCTCCCCTGCGGTTGTTGCTATAAGGGATATAGCTGAGATCGAAAGTTAACGAAAAGTATTTATATTATTTATTTAAATTATGCATTAATTGTATTTTATTAGCATCTACCCTTACCACAACCTAAACCCAACCCTCACAGTAATGTAATAATATTATTTATTGTACAGTGTCACAAAAATTATGCTATATTGATGCAAGTATCCTCAGCTGTATCCCATCTAGCCTTCACCATGCTGCAGGAGAGGGTGAAGTCTAGATGGGATACAGCAGAGGATACTTGCCTTAATATAGCATCATTTTATAGCATAATTTTTCTAGCAACAACAACGGCACCATTAAGAATACTAATATGATCATTAAGCTGTTTAAAAGACAATATATATGTTCTGCCACATATTTGGGAATAAGAGTAACAGAAATTTCACAATATAAATAAAACATTTGTCAATATTAAAAGAAAAAGGCAAAAAGAAACAAAATATGATATATCTATGATAGATGTTGGGGGCTGGAGGGTCACGTGATGAACTTGACGCGTCGTCATGGGAACTTGAGTACTTAAACTCACGTGTGAAAGGGTTGAAGTGTACAAGTGCGCATCAATCATTTTCATTCAGAAACATGAGTGACAATGTTCTGTTCCTGCAGACACCTGGGTGCTAAGGCAGAACTAATACAGGTAATGCTAAGCTGGAGCTAGCTAATGTTAACTTAGTATGTTTCATCCCAAACATAAGAGTTAGCATTGGTTATAATGTAATGTAAATGATATGACATAGTAACATATCTGATATTTGCACATTTAGGGAGCGTTACTAAAGTAAAGATACCTGATTAAACATTTTTAAACATTGATAGTATTTGAGTAAACAGCTGACAGTCATATAGCCAGCTGTAAACATGCATGTCGCTGCCAATTACCTAAAACATTTTTAAAGTTTTAATCTCTGTTAAAGTCAACTTAAATCATATTAAGATAAAACAGTATTAATGGGTTTGTGCACAAAATAACTTTGTTAATACCATTGAGGATTTTAACACACATCAACATCTAAAAGGTGTGCAATTTAGCTGACACTTAGATGAAGACTTCAGCTGGATTGATTAGTCTGCTATTCTGTTCAGATTCCGCTAAATGTTAAACTGCAGTGTCACATGTAACTTCACTTTCAATTTCTAAATGTCCACAACTTTATGCGATCTGTTGAAAATGATCTTTTGGATTATTATCCATCCTAAATTATTCAGTGGATTCTTTACAAAAGTACAACGTTAAAGATTGGAAAAATTAGTTTTAAGAATGCTTAATTCTCAATCCAAATCAATTACAGTTTTAAATGAATAATGTGTAGGATTATTTAGTCTTATTTAGTCTATTACTTAAGATCAAATCTATTTGCACTCTGTCTTGTCTTGGACTCAAACCTCATTAGAACTCATTTTGAGAACTCATTTTGAGAGCAAATCAGGATGTGTGTGTTCATCACTGCTGTTGACATGAGCCGAAACAGCAGTCAGCATCTTCACAACACAAAGAGATGTGTGATTGTCCAACTGTGTGATGTGGACTATTGCTGTGTTTGTAGATTGTCTGGCTGTATGGTGACAGAGGAAGGCTGTGGTTTTCTGTCTTCAGCTCTGACTTCAAACCCCTCACACCTGAGAGAGCTGGATCTGAGCTACAATCATCCAGGAGATTCAGGAGTCAAGCTGCTCTCTGAACAACTGGAGGATCCAAACTACACACTGGACAAACTCAAGTATGTGGAGCAGCACTGCCTTTTTTATTTTGAATACACTTTGATACTTTACTCCTTTTCTAGTCTCCAGATGTTACTCAAACCTGTTAAAATATTTCAGTGCACTGGGGCAGTTCTCACATTAACTGTGATATTATATCTCATATTAACACTGTACAGCTTTCGCATTTTAGTTGAGCAGTGAAACTAGTGCTGAAGAACTGGACAATATCAGGTCAGGTTTGTGTGTGAGAGAGAGAGAGAAAGGCTTTCAAGCAGGTATTGTGTAGTGATGGGAAGTTCGGATTATTTTACTGACTCGGATCTTTGAGTCTCGTTCATCAAGATGAATGAATCTTTTTTTGAGTCATTTCGTTCATTTGGTTCAATTTGCCAAAATGTTATTAAAATGTTACGAATTGCTTCCAAACATTGCTACAACTAGCCCAAAAGGTTGATTGCACGACAAATAAGTCATAAATAGATTACTATAAGGAGCCAGCACAAAATAGCACCTGCACAAATGTGCGCACGCGCGGATGAACAAATCACTCCCTGAGAGCACTCATAGTTCCTTTGACCAGTGTTTACTTGACCAGTGGTTCCCAAAGTGTGTAAAAACTGACCAGTGGTTCCTAAACTCAAGATGCACTTTTTCTGAAATCCTGGCTTTCTTAATACTACTTGTCCAATACTCCTCTGATCTGAGTCTTATAGTGTGGTGAAAGCCGCTTTGTGTGTGTGTGTGTGTGTGTGTGTGTGTGCGTGTGTGTAAATGTGTGTGTGTGTGTGTGTGTGATAAGCTGATTGTAATGAAGTTTACGGCCCTTTGGCCGCCGGGAAGAAGGAGGCGGAGAACCGACGGAGTTTTAAAATGATTTATTAAGAACTGTGACGGCAGCTCCTCACAGAGACTGCCGTCTCTAAACCAAAACAAACGGACGGCAGCTCCTCACGGAGACTGCCGTCAAACTGAAAGCAAAAGTAAAATAACATGCCCGGGCCCGGTCCTCTCTCGGCTTCCTCTGCCATCGGTCCTCCTTTTATGGTCCAGAGCTCCTTCCGTGGGATCCGAGGCAGGTGCGCACCGCACATGTATCCACTCACGCGGTGGCCTCACCCCGTTCCCACGGCTCTCGGCCACGCCCCCTTGCCACACTGATGTTTGTGTACTGACTGAATGTAAATCTGTGTGTGTGTTTACAGTCTGGATCATGGAGTACGCATGAGGATTACAGCAGGACCACGCAAATGTAGGACCACACACACACACACACTCTTACACACTCTCTCAAACACACAAACGCATGCACACGATCACACAATTAGACACACACACGCTCCCTTCTGTCTCTCTCAAATGCACACACACACACACACACTCAGACATCCACACACATGGATGCACCCTCTCTCACACGCACACACACTCACGCACACACACACTTTCTATCTCTCACACTCACACACACACACAGAGCAGTGAACACATGCGTGCACACACACACACACACACACCCTTTCTCTCTCATACAATCAGACACACACACTCACTCACTCAGACACACACACAGCAGTGAACACATGCACATACACACACACCCACACACACAGCAGTGAACACATGCACACACATACACTCTCTCACACACACACACCCTCTCTCTCTCTCTCTGACACACGCGCACACACATACACAATCAGACACACACACAGCTGTGGTTGTAAATGTGTGTGTTCTTGTGTTCAGATGTCTGTTTCCTCACTCTGGATCCAAACACAGCACACACTCGTCTCATTCTGTCTGAGAAGAACAGAAAGGTGAAGTGTGTGTGGGAGAAACAGCCGTATCCTGATCATCCCGACAGATTTAATTATTATCCTCAGGTGTTGTGCAGAGAGAGTGTGTGTGGTCCCTGTTACTGGGAGATTGACTGGAGTGGAGATGATCATGGTGTGTGTATATCAGTGTCATATAAGAGCATCAAGAGGAAGGGATATGGCGATGATTGTTGGTTTGGACGTAATGATCAGTCCTGGAGTTTGTTCTGCTTTCCCTCCAGATTCACATTCTGGCACAATAACACATGCACTGATCTCCCAGTGAAGCCGCTCAGCAGGAGAATAGGAGTGTTTGTGGATCACAGTGCAGGAACTCTGATCTTCTACAACATCTATAGAGACACAATGAGCCTCATCCACTCAGTCCAGACCACATTCACTGAGCCGCTCTGGCCTGGGTTTGGCTTTTATTCTGGATCATCAGTGAAACTGAGCTAAAGACTGACAAGAGATTTACCCAGAATCCTCTGTTGGAACAGTCAGTAGCAGTGTGTGTGTGTGTGTATGTGTGTGTGTGTGTGTGTGTGTGTGTGTGCGAGTGTGCATGTGTTCACTGCTCTGTGTGTGAATATATTGCTGTGTGTACGCGTGTGTGCATGTGTAGTGTGGGAGTAACTATGTTTGTGTATGTGTGTGTGTGAGAGAGAGTCTGTATTTGTTTGTGTGTACGCGACAGACAGTGTGTGTGTCCATCTGTGAAAGTCTGTCTGTGTGTGTGTGCGTGTCTCAGTCTTCATTAGTCTCATCATTGATGTTTATGAAGTGTCCTCTAGGATTGTTAGTTCTTGTTGACTCTCAGTGCATTAACTGATGTTCACAAGCACAACTGTGGATTAATAATGCTTCAGTAAATGTCTAATCACTGTCGTTCATCAGGAGTCATTAACTAGGATTAATAAATGCTCTACAAGATTGGTTCACTGTTATGAATTAACATTAACAACACCTTAATGTAGAATTTGAGCATAATAACACAAATACACCAATAGTGTAATAAATCCTTATCACATGTTGAGTTTTTCCATCACTAACACACAATTCATCACACAATTCCTCGTCTTCTCCGTCTCCTCTTTCTGTTTCTGCTTTGAGATTCTCATGAGGGTTTCAGCAGTTTTGCTGCAGAATTATGAGGTGTTGCTTCTCTTAATACTAAAGTTTCTGCAGGAAATCATAAAGAAATGTACTGAGTGACTAAAGATCAAGTATTAGTGTGAGTGAGCGTTTTAAAACAGCTGAAATAAAGTCTTAAACACACAAGACTGCTGCTCTCACATTCTCTTACTGTAATTATGCTCAATTTGTAGGTAAACTGTGAACTTTAAGCTTTACTAAGTAAAAATACTCTTTAAAAAAATGATAATAATCTCCCACATTCTGCTCCTGTACAGTATTGAACTCTTAAATCATGCTCAGTAATATTTGTGTCCAGTAGGGTTGGGCATCTAAGCTATAATGCCGATCCGATACGCATCTCGATACAAAGAATACGATCCGATATATTAGCGATACATTTGTGACATATTGCGATGCAACACGATACGATTCACACCCATATCACGATACGATGCGATATTTCAGCACTAATTAGATCAAGTTTATGAGATGATGTGAAAGAGGATGCTGTGCCATTGAATGAGTTTGATTATTTATAAACCAATAAAACCAAGACTTTTTTTTACAAACTGGCTCTTCTCTCAGAGCCAGAGTGTCAGTTTACAGTAGAGGGCCATTTTAGAACATATAGCACATATTATTTAAGTATTTTCAAGATAAACAGAATGTATAAGTGCAATATCAATTAAAAAAATATGTATATATTTGCACTCTTTCAACATAAATAAATTTAGCATTGCACAACAAGAATTGTGATTTAACTTTTCAACTATGAAAACAAGTTTTACAAAGATATTTTGCCACTGATTATTCAAAACTTAAGGTTGTGAACTAGCAGTGTTATGCTGCTTTGAAACATCACTGTCACTGTAAACAACAGGCTAATAAAAATATAACAAACCAGCAATCTTCTTGCTGTGAGGTGGTCAAACTACCCACTGTGCCACCGTGACACCCAATTATTTTTATCATTATTATTATTAATATTATTAATATTATAATTAAATAAAAATTAACAGGAGGAGGTGTTTAAAACCTTCGTTCTCCGTGACACTAGGCTGAATATCTTTGCAGATGAACAATGCAATAGCATTCGTTATTGGCGTAGAGCGAGCAGAAATGTTGCGCACGGAAAAAAAACTTGCAATGCTTTTCTCACCACTTTTGGAGCTGGTTGAAGCAGTGCGAAAGCCGGGGATGCAGAAACACTAGAAGATGCTTTCACAACACCGTGGCGCTGCTTCAAGTGAGATTTCAGATTAGTCATACTGCCCGCGTATTTTACAGATGCGCGGCACATTTTGCAAATTGCATCTGTCCTGTCATGTCATCCATCCTTAAATCCATAATGTTGCTTGCCATACTTTAGATTTAAAACTCAGTGGGGAATAAAATGTTTGTTTTGCTTCTCGCACTTTCTGAGGGCGCTCCACTAGCTTCATCCGCACACCTGATACACCGAGTTGTAGTGTGTGCACATCCGCAAATCCGTTGCTAAGGCTTACTTTATGTAGGTCGATTAAATTATGCGCCAAAAACAGGTTGACAACACTTGTTAATAAATAAAAAATACATTCTATATTAAAAATATAAGCTGTATCTCGGAAAAATCGATGCATCTCGCAAAAACCGGTGCATCTCGATTTGCTTCCAAAATTTCATTCATCCTCTGCTGCTCAACCGATGCACTCGCATCGTGCACGCGCATGACCGCGTATCGATACATATCGGTTAATCTTCCCATCCCTAGTGTCCAGTAATAAGCCTGTTACTCTTGACTGGATGAGGAGTTTCTCAGTGTTGGATTGACTAAAGTAGGAAAACACACAGTTTAGCTAAACCTTTCCTGCTGCGCTCAGAGAAATAAAGGCTTCTGCTCCATCAAGACCAACACAGAGACACTGAGGAGGAGCTTCTGAACACAGACCAGACGCTCTCTCAATCACAACACACACAGCACACACACACATTCAGCACGTCTGTGGTCACATCTGCACATTCAGGCACAGTTACACACACACACATCTCTGTGTGTATTCTAGTTCAGTTCAGTTATGGTGTCAATGTACATGGAGTCAGTCTACAGCAAAAGTTCTCTACAGTTGTATAGCCGCTGGGTTTTTAATGTGTTTATTTTACAGCTGTATTTCCTAGAACTAAAGTGTGTCTATATTTTATTTCTTATTTTATTCAGTAATTTATTTCTCATCTATAATCTTGTTGTTTTTTAAGGTCATGGGTGGTCGTATAAGCATTTCACTGGATGTTGTCGTGATGAAGAAAACTGAATTTTAATGTAAAGTCAAATAAGATATTGAAATAAAACATTTGAACTGAAGTTAAAGTCTTATTTTTTCTTGATTTTTCATCTTTATTAACACTTGATGTGATTCTCCCTTGTATATTCACTGGGTTCAGCTAATTTTGTATCTAACAGTAATATTCTGTGCTAGTTTTAGCATCCACTTTATTCAAACAATAGCCCTTGGTTAATGAGAATAAAATAGTACTACGCTGTATAAAGGGTTAAAATAATATTTCCAACAGCAGGAACATAATTTAGCATCGTATAAAAAAACCTAAAACTTTAGAACTTTAACTTTAAATCGGTTTATATCTGTAAACGTTTTAAAACAAACCTTTCTCCAGTTGAATCACAGCGCTGAAGCGGCACCGCCTGATGACGTCACATGCCGCGCCAAAATAAGTCTATTTTGTTTTGCTTTTTTGTCACTATTTGTTGCAGTCATGACTTATTGATACATTTTTCTCATGGTTTTCACTTTAACTATATCAGCTCTCTCTCACACAAACCATCTAAACAGTTTCTTAGATTTTTAAAGGTGTTAATAGATTATGGCAAGAGAAATGGGATAAAGATGAGAAAGGCAGACATTTATTTGAAATTCTAAAGGAGGTAGAAGTCAAAAAGAACAATTTTCTAACACGGCAGGAGGAAACATGGTTTACAAGATTAAGAATAGGGCATATTCTCTAATGGGTTGCCTATTATGTGGTGAATATACTCCTGTAATGCATACTGCAGTCCTTTTGTTTGGCTTTCTCGGATATCTCACCTGTTTGCCAAAAATGACATTATATCCCTGGCAATGTCTGAAACCAGCGCACACACATTGATAAAGCCGTGCCAGGCATAAAAGCTTGACAGGCTTAGCAACAGTAACTAAGGAGGGCGGGGCTTAGCGAAGGGTCTGTGTATACTTTCATGAGTGACTAAAATATATTACTGAAAAGTAAACTAAAATATATTACAGAACCATTAATAAGGATGGTGTTAAATTGTTTACGATGCTACTGTTATAAATTGTCCCGCTAAAAAAAGTGTAAAATATTGGCAGCTGCAGTTGCCAGCAATGTACTGTTATTTTACAGTATGTTTCTGTAAAAATACATGGACTACATTAATATACACAATACTCAAGTGAACTCATTTTGTTCACTGAAAGCAACTGCCTCAAAATTGCCAACTGCTGTATGAGTTTATGAAGTAAAGTGCTATATATGCTTAGAAGCATACTTATAATAATTACTTATTTTAGTTAATTAGAAATGTTCTGTTTAACTCAAATGTCTTAAATTTCACATCAGCACACATACATGTAAAGTTGGATTTAACACAGAGAGATTCTGACTGCATCAGCAACTAAACAGCCGCTGTCTATAAATAAAGAAACATGCAGCATAACATCAGCAGTTCATTGTTCATCTTTAACTCATACACTGACTCTACTCTCCTCCACAACGGTGACACACAGAAGAAATTTGCTTCAGGTTTTACAGTAAAATACAGTTTTTTCCTTGATTTAACTGCAAACTACTGGCAGCTGTGGTCAAGTACACCCGTCTGCAGCCCGCAGATCGGGGCGGGGCTGAATACGGGGCGGGGCTGCATATTCAGCCCCGCCCATAAGTGGGCGGGACTGAACATGTCACTCCGCCTACAAGTCTTTCATTGGTTCACGGAAACATATTGACGTTGATGTAATATATGCTTTCGATTCCGGTTTTCATCTCTGCATGGTAAGTACACGTCTTCTGTCATGTAGCCTAAATGGTTAAATTATATGTGCAGTACACCTCACGGGCTACGTATTATGTGTAATTTATTTAATTAAAGGCCTTTAAGGAGATATGAAGTTTTAAAGCCTTTAAAAAATGTTTTCTGTGTTAGGGTTGGCGTTTTCCAGGTTGATCGTACAGTTAGTGGTCTTATTCACTTAAAAGAATAATGTAAACTTTAAAGAGTGTCGAGCCACACAGTCCATTACATGAAGTTTATTGATATCAAAGATAACAAAATA